CACCTCTAATATGAAGTGAAGGCACTTCTCTGGACCAGCTTTTAATACACACATACCTAAGATACAATTTGCATCTTTTTTTTTTTTAAAAAGATTTATTTATTTATTTATACAAGCACTGGGTACAGTCAGATGCGCGGGATGGTGAGAGAATTCACCAGAAACAGAGCGGGGAGCAGAACAGGCAGACTGACAAAGTACACTGCTGAGGGGAGCAGCGGGTGCAGCAGGAGAGGTCTGCGCACCATGTGGGACCCTTGCCATTGGCCGGGGATAGAACCAGCGCTGCAGAGGCTGCAGGCAGCTTCACAGCACAGTGCTCAACCGCTGCGCCGCTAGGGAGGCCCATAAGATACAATTTGGTAATATATTCTCTACATACAAGCTCAAAGTGTCACAGAATCTTAGCATCCAAAGATTAGAGCTCATGTAGATCTGCCATTTCATTTTCATAAAGAAACTGAATCTCAGAAATGTTAAGTGGCTTGTCTAAGGTTTCCCTGCCCCCCCCCCACACACACACACATGCACACACACCTTTCCCTTCATTTTTTTCTGGCTAAACCTCAAATTGCTGTGATTCTCCAGTGAGTTACAATCCTGGCCTGGGGCAGCTTATCTCTGGGTAGTCAGCTCTCTCCCTGGACCTCCCTGATGGCAGCTTGCTCCTGGCTCTAGCTGTCTGAGCTCAGTGAAGGGGAGCTCAATAATCCCTTCAATCCTCTCTGAACTCAAAGACCTATTCATTTATCTAAACAAAATAGAAAGAGACAAAAATAATCCTCAGAAAATAGACCTCTCCTATCTGGTACCTCCCATAACATTCACATACTTTTGTGCTTAAAAACTTTTTTCTCCTGTCCATCAGTTTTATTACATGAGAATAGAAAAGCTGGTTGGACTGATTATGATGGGCTTTAACCCCAAAACATTTCTGATATACATCCTCTACTCTTTAACCCCACTAATGTTATATTTATTCAGGATATCACTTTTTTGAGAATATGCCTCTGGGCTCATAGTCTCTGGCCTATTCTTTATTTGAGTTCCTAAAAATGATTAGTCCAAAAACTCAGATCTGAGGATGCTGTTCCTTGGCTTTCTCTTACTGTCTTCATGACACCATCCAAGTTCCACCAATGTGGCCTATCAGGCGCTCCACTGTTTTATTCCTACTTGCCTCACTGGTCTCATCCCTAAGGCTCTCTCTATCATTTCCTTTGTTCTCCAGAAGCTCCAACCCATTTGTGTTCAACCTGTGTAGTGGATTATCTTCTTATCTTCTTGCTGTACCATCTTCCTGGAATATTCTTTTTAATCATTTTCATAAAGAAACTGAACCTTTAAATCTATCCAGAAACCTTAAGCTCATCCATATATTTGATACATCTCCACTATAGGCCTTTATCCCTGAAAGCTATAATAAGAGGTCCTTTTAGAAAGACATGTTTTTTTTATAGATATGCATACCCCTGGTAGTATGAAAATGCTTAATCAAAGAGCAATCGCTCTAGAAAGCTGGCTTCTCTTAACTCTCTGACAATGGTATGAGATAGAGTTTCAAAGCAAATTAATTCTTTTAAAATTTGAGAAAACACAGTACTTTCAATGGAATAAAAATAATTATGGTAATAATGATTGATGCATATGATGGCTGAGTATGAGATGATGATCTAAATACTTTATATGACTATAGCATTACATTTGTACAAAAATTCTACATTACCATAGATAGTCATTTTATAGGTGAGAAACCTAAGGGTCAGAGAACTTTAAATAAAATGTCTAATATCACAAAGGGAGGGGCAGAAAGGACATTTAACTAGTGACACATTTTTACTGACATTTAACAAGTTCTTAACATTTTATTTTACTGCTGACCCTTGCTGAATATGAAGGATCTTGTAAGGTTTGTGAACACAGATTTAAATTGATTCTGTTACATAATCAAGTCAGATTTTCATGTTAAGAGTGGGACTTATGACTGGTTATATACATTCACTCCTGAGTATTCTTGTCTGTTCTAAAGCTTCAAATACTATCTATATTCCCATGACACTTCAATTTATGTTTCCAGCTCAGATCTTTTGCCCAAACTTTAAACCACAATATCTAGCTCTTTTCTTGTCATTTTCTCTTGCCTATAAAACAGGCACCTCAAATACAGCTTTTCAAACAATATACTTACATCTTTCTCCTCAAAAATAAGTTCTGCCCACATTCTTAATTCTCCAGGAACAGCAAACCCATCTTTCTAATTGCTCTGGCTCAAAACCCTGAATTGGTTCTTTTTTTCTTTTTCTTTTTTATAGAGGCATGTTTTATTTATTTATTTGTTTGTTTGTTTGTTTATACATGCACTGGGTACAGTCAGAAGTGCGGGAGAGTGAGAGAATTCACCAGAGCCAGAGTGGGGAACAGAACAGGCAGACCCATGAAATACACTGCTGAGGGGAGCAGCGGGTGCGGCATGAGAGGTCTGCGCACCATGTGGGACCCTCCTCCGGGTGGCCAGGGAGCAGCCGGGGATCGAACCGGTGCCACAGAGGTCACGGGCAGCTTTGCAACCCAGCGCTCAACCGCTGCGCCACCGGGGAGGCCCCGAATTGGTTCTTGACTGCTCTGTTTCTGTACAACCCACATTAGATCCATCAGGGAGTCAATCCCGTTAAAACAGGTGGAGACTGTGATTGCTTTTCAGCATTTCCACCACCATCTCCTACCTGGATCACTGAATATCAGCCACTCAACTGGTCTCCCAGCTTCTACCCTTGTCTTTTACCGTCTAATCTCAACAAAAATCATGTCCCTCCTTTGCCCCAAAGCATGGGGTATCATTCAAAGCAAAAATTTCCTGTATCATTCAAAGCAAAACTTAAGGTCCTTCCAGTAGGATAGGACACACCTATCCTTCTACTACTTCTTGTGCTCATTCTGTCCCATATTGCCTTTCTTAATGTTTCTAGAGCAGCCCCACATACATTCCTGCTTTTTGATCTTAGCACTGGCTGCTGTCTCTTTCTGGAACCCTCTTCCCCCAGAAATCCATATGGTCAACTTTCTTACCTCCTTCAAATTATTGGCTCATGTCATTTCTCAATGAAACTGTTCTTAGTTAGCTTATTTACAATCACAACTCCTTCCCCCGCCCATCCCAGCACTCCCAGCTCCTCTCGCTGCTCTGTTTTCTCTTTCCAACACCATTCATGACCCACAGCATTCATACTACACAAGTTACTTATTTACTTGGGTTTTATTTTCTGTTTTTCCTGCAGAATGTAAACTCCACTGATTTACCCCAAACCCCTAGTACAGAGTGCTATGTGGAATATGGTAAATGTTCAATAAGTCAGTGCTCAACTAATGAATTCTTATATACTGTTAATAATCAATCTGGGTTCTCAGCAGTACAGAGGAGCAAAGAGCTTTCCCAGAGTAGCACCCATGTAAATTGCTTAATAATAGGAGAGGTGATACTAGAACAGCATAGCTAAAAGGCAGGACAAATATGTTCGGTTAAACATTAGGTATACCTCCCAATATGGATTTTGGAGTCTGGGTTCATATATTGAGTTTGCTGCCTACTGCTGTAAAGAAAGATATTTAACTTAAGCCTCTGTAAAAGGAGAATATTACTGCCTATCTTGTAGTGTTGATTGATTTATGTACTATTCATCAAAAATTATCAAGAATAGTGCTAAGCACTGTTCTAAGTGCTTTCCAAATACCAATTCATTTCATCTTCACAACATCTTCATAACAACAAATATTACCCCCATTTTCCAGACACAGAAACTGAGGCAGAAGCTTAACTAATTTTCTCAAAGGCATGTAGTTATAAAAAGGTGGAGCTCAGATTTGAACCTGGTTATCTGGCACCAAAGTGGGCTCCATTATCCAGATTTTCCTTGTGATGAGGACTTAAATGAATCAATGTGAATTTGGTTCCTTATAATGCCAGACATTTAGTAAGCTCTCAAAATGTGTTGATTGTTCTTGTTGTTATTATTATTACCCAATTACTTGATTATAGTGTATTCTGAATCTATTTTCATACCTCACTAATTAACATAACTATACAAGAATCAATATAACACACACTAAACATGTTATTCCCTCTTTTTTTAAAAAAAGATTTATTTATTTATTTATGCAAGAACCAGGGTAAAGGCCAGATGCGTGGGAGGGTGAGAAGATTCACCAGAGATAGAGTGGGGAAGAGAACAGGCAGACTGACAATACACACTGCTGAGGGGAACAGCTGGGGAGACAGGAGAGGTCTGCCACGCCATGTGGGACCCTCGCCTGCCAGCCGGGATCGAACCGGCACTGCAGAGGCTGTGGACAGATTCACAGTGTGGCGCTCAACCGCCTGCGCCACCAGGGGAGGCCCCTAAACATGTTATTCTTTTATTTATTTATTTATTTATTTATTTATGTTTGTTTTTTTTTTTGTTTTGTTTTGTTTTGTTTTGTTTATACATGCACTGGGTACAGTCAGAAGCGCGGGAGGGTGAGAGAATTCACCAGAGCCAGAGCAGGGAACAGAACAGGCAGAAGGACTGAAGTACACTGCTGAGGGGAGCAGCGGGCGGCAGGAGAGGTCTGCGTGCCATGTGGGACCCTCCTCCGGTGGCCGGGGAGCAACTGGGGATCGAACTGGCGCTGAAGTGGCCGCAGGCAGCTTCGCAACCCAGCACTCAACCGCTGAGCCACTGGGGAGGCCCTAAACATGTTATTCTTAAGCCTAGTCACTCAGTATAAAGCCTGGAGGTACTTAATGCAGAGAACTTGTAAATATGTTGACTGTTAAATGCGAAGTAGCTTAAGTGGCAAATACAATGTTCACAGCTCACTTTAATGGAATAGGAGCACTAGCTAATTTCATTGTATATATGCACTTTTTAATTCTTCCTGAGTAGGTTATATATTTATCAATTCTAATATTTCGTTTGGGGAAAATCATGGCTCTGGTCTACTCCCCGGTCATGATTACTTACAGACAGGAGGCAGCTCATATTCAACTTCAAGAACCACTCTTTCCCCGACATTCTTCAGCAAGCTGATGATCTCATCGTGACGGAACTTTGCCAGGTTGATCCCGTTGACAGCTTTGATGTAGTCACCCACATCCAGCTGGTCACTTCTGCAAAAAAAGAGAAAGCCACTCAGTGGGCCCGTCCTCTCCACAGGACTGTCTGACTGTATTTTCCACTTTCCTTTCACGAATAAGCGGCAGGCCTGGGCGCCTGACACAGCACAAACCCCAGCCTCCCAAGATGGTTGAGGACACCCCAGGGTGGGTGAGAGAGAAACAGATTTTTTTTCTCAAGCCCACTGCTAGACTTTGAAAGTCTTGCCCTGGGTCAACTGTGGCCTCTTTGACTTGTTTCTAACCTTTTGCCCCTTCCATTTTTAAAGAGCACCATAAAACAAAGTAAAGAGAAAATGGTTTTTAGTTGTGTCGCCCATAAAGCATTGATTCTCTGGGGGCAGGCTATTCAGATCCTGGACATATGAAGAGTTTTTCTTTTTTCTTATCCCCTCTCATTTTTGCTGCCTGCCTTTTGGGCATTTCACACTTTTCAATAGCTTCTCTGGGAATTTGTCTAGAGCCAAAGAAAGGGTCAGCTCACTTTGCAATTTATTGCTTATAGCAGGACTGGTGAAACAGGATTTGGTGAAGACATTCTAATGAGAGGCTTGGGTTTCTATAACATTCCTGTCTTTCTTCATGACCATAAATAGAGGTTTGGCCATACTGGGGCTTTTAGTCAAATTTAAAATTCACATCACTGACAAAGCAAAATACTTACATAACAACTAGCACACACTAAACTAAGTGAGGCAGACAGGGAGGGAGAAGGGTTGAAGGGTGAGGATAGCAATGGGGGAATTCATGTCACTGATAAGGGCTTTACATAATATTTTCCCCCAAATACAAATACCTAATTCATTTATTTTATGCAAGTCCAGCTCCAATCACACCTCCTTCAGAGAGCCTCCCTAACCCCAGCTCAGCCTGCGGTGCAAGCGGTCACTCCCTCCTCACCTTGAGTGATGCTTACTTGGCAACTTAATAGCCTTGTGCTCTGCAATAAGTCCTGTGTTGCTACTTTTTACTATTACACAACTCTATTATTGCTCCCCAACTTTTCTTGCTTTTTCTTGCTTTTTATAGTTTATCTTCCCTAATAGACTGTAAGCCCTTTTAGGGCAGCTATCTTATCTTTATTTTGGCTTCCTAACTATGAGATGGTCCTTAAATAGTGAATATTTGATGATTGATAATACCCGATATACTGGCATAGCCTACAGTATTTTATTTTTTTTTTTAAGATTTATTTTTATTTATGCATACAAGAGCTGAGGTGTAGGCCAGAGGTGTGTGTGTCAGGGGGTGGGGAGTGTGGTGTTGAGAGGATTCACTAAAGACAGAGTGGGGAGCAGAACTGGAAGATCAACTGAAATCCACCACTGAGGGGAACAGCAAGCAGGCAAGACAGGAGAGGTCTGCGGTGCCATGTGGGTCAGCATCCTGGCTGGGGATAGAACTCATGCTGCAGTGGCTGGCAATAGCTTGATAACCCCTGTGCCACCAGGGAGGCCCAGCCCACAGTATTTTAAATTATAGCATCAATGCAATTCAAAATGATATTCAGCTCCCCATACATACTTGCTTTGGGGGCTATATATGAGAAGCTCTGGAGACACATGAAGGCCTAGCATCACTGTTTGACTGCTGTGGAAAAAGAAGCCTATGGTGAAAGGAAATTAAGGTGCTGTGCTGATATCAGCCTGTTGTGCAAACAATACCTTGGATTATGGAGCAATCAATTGGATTAAGTTTATAAACTGTACAAACAAGTTAATCATCAAACATAATCACTATTTCAGATGACACTTTGTAAGACAAATACTCTAAAACTTAATTTAGGATAACATGGACAGGACTATTGGTATCCAGGATTGAAGGTACATTAACCTCATTTTTAATGAAACCTGACCATTCTAACCCCTCTTTCTGAGCTAAATTTGGAATTTGTCTATACGGCAAGCCCACCACTGCCCAACGGCCAGGGCATTCTGTCTTTGGCAATAACCAGTGCAATTTGCAGTTCAAGGGAACAAGGACAAAATAAGATCTTCTCTAAGCCTGTCCTTTTGGAAATCACCTCTTTGTTGTGATGAAAAGAAAATGTTGCAACAATAAAAACAGAGAACATAGGAGACAAGGAAAATTTTTACGTAGAAACTTGGGGTTGAGCCTCCCATTCTTTCTAGGCTGGCCTTGTCCCACTATGGTAGCATGTTTCCCTCCCCCACCCAGCTTCCCCATGTCATTATGGGTCCTCTGTTCCACATTTAGATGACCAGAGGGTCTTATTTCTGCAGGAGCTAGTCTGCTGCTCAGTGGCACATTTGGAGACTAGATCCAGATGGGCATCTTCAAATTAAAATCTTTTGTGGAGCTGGTTCCTCCTGAGATGACAGGAGACTCTCCCTGGTGACTCTTGCAAAGGCCAGAAAAGCCACATTTCTGAAACACGCCCCACTGTGCTTCTGCCCGGCAGATGGCAGTTGTCATTTATTTATTAGTGACCTTTTCTGATGGAGCTTTAATTTTTGAATTAATTACACCCTGTGTTCCTTTTCCTACATTTCCCTGGGATGCAGTTACCTAGCAGCAATTCCTCCTTGCCGCAGATTAGATACTCTTGGCTTGCCATCCTTATCAATTCCTCCTGATACTGTCAGCCCGAGGGTCGTGCCTTCCTTCTTCATCAGTTCAACGACGGTGGAGCCCTTGAATTCCTCTGTTAAAAGAAAAGCATTTGCCTTATTAAACAAGAGTGGAAGCACAGATGTTTTGTGTGTGGTGGAAGGACACCTCCCCATAAACTCTTTCCACTTTTTCTTTTATGAGAAAAGATCTGTGGCCTCTTTTCCACTGCAATTTGCAGACTATCTCATAAAGATGTGCATGCGGATAAAGCTGAGGCAGATATTACATTATAAGTTATTAAAATGGGCACCAGTGAGGTAGTTCACCCTGAAGTTCACAATAAGTAGTCTGGCATGGCTTATGTACAAATGATAATATTCACCCTTTGTTTTCTGCCATTCTCAAGTGACTTTGTCTGGTTTCTCTTCTTGTAACTCCAAAGGGAAAAAATTGAGAATTGTGAAATAAGGGACTAGAATGTATTTTAAATAATAGTACAAATGCATAAAGCACAACAGCAGACTTCAAGTTCATGGTACATTTCAGCTGAGGGAGTCAACTGACACAAGAGAGCTTTCTACAGGTTTGGGAAAAATCGTATTGACTCTGCACCTTTTTTATTTTACAAAAAACCAAGGACAACATCTTCATGTAATAACTCACATCACTTCTTACAGAATATACCACAATGTGATAAGGTAGGGTTGGTCCTCAGAATCCCCAGGTAACCACCATTAAATCCCTCATTCTCTACTGACAAAGTTTAAAAAACACCACCAGTCTTGTGAAATAATGTCTATATGCCAGGAAGGAACCCAAGTTTTTTGAGTTTAGACACAATAGAACTTTAAGACTATCCTTCCTTCCAGAAATAAAAATAAATAGAGTCAACTCTTACCTATCTAGAAGCTAATTACAATAAATAGTGCTTCAAAATTCTCTGTAATGTTATTCTCCACTGTATGCATACTTTTTAGATATGGGGAAACTGGACAACTTTCCAGTTCCTCCAAAATAAGATTATGAATCAACTTATAAATTCTAGGATATCAAAGACTCATATTTAAATGCAAGAACAGATGTTTCAAAGTCAAAAAATGAAAAGATTACTTTGCACACCCTATCCCCTCTTCCATTATATATAACAGTGAATTATTACTTCAAAAATCTACATCAATTCTTATCACAAAGATTTTTAAATTGTCACTGCTGATGTACTATCCCACTAATCGATGAAAAAGTCAAATTTTGTCAGGGAGGGAAATACTCTCTCATCAGATCTAGTATGGCCAACAGAGTACTTGCAGAAAGAAGGCTACTCTTTCCTCAGTGATGTACAGGATGTCAGGTCCAGCTGGGGCTTCCCAGACTGCCATGTCCTTTGACTCTGTACCCTGCAGACCATTGCTGGAAACCCTTTTCTGGGCAGGTTTACAACACTGCATACCTTTATTGCCCTTGCCCTTCATAGCAGAAGCCAAGGAAGAGTCTACAAGTGCAAATGATGCCAGTTTCATTTACTATATTTTATATGAGATTAAAAAATGACTGAAATTCAACAATCAAAATCCCATCAATGCATAAGAGCCCGGTGTCTTTATATCACTGGCTGGAAGCTATGTAAGGGATGTCCATCACCATGTGCATGTCGCATATGCCCCCTTGAAACAGAACAAAACACCCCCCTCCATATCCCACACAGCACACACAGACCCAAATGACATTTGAAGAGATGAACAAAAAAAGCCCCAACAAGCCCTTTGTGGCAGAAGGCTACATATAAATTATTTAAAAAATAAAGTTAATAAAGTAATGAAAATTACATAATAGGAGATGACTGTTCACATTACAGAGACATAACATGCTAACAATTTTGCCCAAAAGATTTCTTTGCATCTTCTTTAAATATGTAGTGTGATCCTGTATATTTAAGCATTTGATTATAGATCTTTACTCTGAGTGTTGGAAACACAGTTTTTTTAGGGTCTTTCTTTTTTATTTATTTATTTATGCATACAAGAGCTGGGGTACAGGCCAGAGGTGTGTGTGGGGGTGTGAGAGGATTCACTAGTGACAGAATGGGGAGCAGAACAGGTGGACTGACTGAAATACACTTCTTAGGCAAGCAGTGGGCGAGACAGGAAAGGTCTGCTGCACCATATGGGTCAGCTCACTGGCTGGGGATCGAACTCGTGCTGCAGAGGCTGTGGATAGCTTCACAGTGCTGAGACTTATCCACCAGGGAGGTCCCTTTAAGGTCTTTCTTAAAGGTGAATCACAAATGCACAAAGAAGCAGCTATGAAATAGTAATAGCACACAAGTGAGAAACAAGTTTTAATTCATAAATACTTTATTCCTACTCAGGCTTTCAAGAACATACCCTGTATAAGACTGGACACCAGTATGTAGTACAGCCTGTGGGAAGTGGACAATGCAGTTTTCTACAGAGGAATCCAGGCAGGTCCTCCTCAGGTTTCTGACTAAATCCTAAGAATCTAGACAAGCTCAATTTCTTTAGTTTAAATTGATCTGTTTTCAAGCATTAGTCCATCTAGGCTATTTTTAAACCTGGAAGGAGTTAATTATCCTGTAATTAACTATTAAAAAATATTTCAAATCTTTTCCCTAAGAGCTACTTTTAACAACATGAAAGAAAACATTCATGCACCAATTCATTGAGTAATTTGTGCACTCATTGATTCAACCATTTATTGAGTGCAGACCAAGAGTCAGACTAGGAAACTCAAAGATGAAACAAGTTCGAAAAATGACAAACAATCACAGAGGTGAGTGGGTCACAGACCACCACGCCGCAGTGTGGGTTGTGGAGGCAGTGGCCACAGAGGAGATGGTCCTGGCAACAATGTCAACTGAAGGTTGAAGCTGCAAATGCAACATCTATTTCACAATTTTGTCTCTGTCTAATCTGTCTGGATTTATTGATCAGGATTAGCTGAGCAGAATAGACCAAAGCAGGAATCTAAATTAGGCAAAACTCAGGAGTAACAAGAATATTCTTGTAAGAAAATGTGCTGAATCACAAGAATGTTAACTGCCAATAAGTATCTCTAGCCCCTGAAGGATTGACTAAATCTTTATAGTATTTGTGAAGGGTGTAGGAGAAAAGAAGCAGTCTGGAGGGGGAAGGACATGCTACTGGAGTTTGCTTTCTGCTAACCTGTACTCTCCACTAGACTAATCAATCATTTTATGTCTTTTCTGGTGTTTAATGTTTGCATAATGATCTAATGGCAAGGAGAAATGAAGACAGATGCATTCATTTGCATGAGTTCCCTTATATATCAAGGCTTATGGAACAAACTTTCACAGTGAAACAGAGGCACTCGGCAAGCTAATATAGACTGACAATTTCTTTCTTTGTGATTTAACTTGCAAATATCCCTCCCCCAATTAAGAGTACCATGTAACAAAGAATGTGGTCTCTTCAAATTAGTAAGCAGTGAAGTGAACAGATGATGCCCAACTGGCAAAGGAATGAGATGGTTCTGGATTTGATGTTTTCCTTAATCACCATATTTAATTATCTTATAAAAGAAATGAAAGGTTCACATTTGTACCAGTACTCACTCAACATAACAAGAATCTCATTGATAGAATGGGCTTTGCTTGTTTGCAGTTTTTCTTTGGATTTGTAATTCAATCTTCTTAATTACTGAATTCCAGAAAGTTTTAAGACAAGTAACAAAGATGCCTGGCAAAAGCAAAGAAAGATGAAAAAATCTTGCAAACAAGTAAGAAACTTTGATAATAAAGATGGTTACAAAATTAAAATGCAGAAAATCACAGCCTTTACATACATGAACAATGACCAGTTACAAGTTACCATAGAAAAAAATACTCCATTTACAAGAGCCACAAAGGAAAAGTTAGTGAAAAATGTGCAAGATCTATATGAAAGAAATATCAAAAGACTTTCAAGGGGTAGAGTATAAGAGCAGAACAAATAAAAGACATCCCTTTTAGCCATCCAATAAAAACTGACCAGTTTGCCGGACTTTGGACATAAATAGTACTGAACAAAACAGATAAGATTGCTGCTATGTAGGAACTAATATTCCACCGGATAACATAACCCAACTTTCAAGATGTCAGTTCTCCCTAAATTAATCTGTAAATTCACAGTATCAATAAAAATGCCAATAGGATATTTTGGGCAATTGAAAGATTTCATCTTTTATTGCAAAAGTGGAACAGGTATCCTTGCAAAGACTTTGTGGAAAATTGTGTTCCCAAAGCACGCCAGCTCATTGTTGAATGTTGTTGTGAAAAAAACAGAGAGCCCATTTAGGAAGCCTGACTGAAGGAGGTAATGGAGTTATGACTAGATGGTACACTACACACCATATCTTCCCTGAGAGATTATAAAAAGAATCATACACCCCAGAAGCAAGAACCTAGGGTTCATAGGCTAAGAAAGCCTCTGTGTCTGCTCCCCAAACACTGGTCGGAGTCTGGATCTGACGGATATAAAATAAGAAAAAAAAATGAATCACAAGTATAGGGCATCCAGAATCTAGAACTGGCCATCTTAGTGTTTAGTCACACTGCTTTGCATAGAATAAAGGTTATGGCCTAGTAATTTTATTTATTTTGTGGGAAATCTTGGTGCCTGAACATTCGTGCCCAATTGTTTATTTTAAAAACATAATTCGGCTTAGAACAGAAAAAGGGGAATTGGTACTAATTTTTGACAAGTTCCTAAAATTCAGGGGCTCCATAAATAGGGAATTACAAAGAGGACAATTGTAATGATGATGGGAAGGGTTGGGGAGAGCAGCAGTAGATTTGGGTCAAGAAGGTCATTGCAGTAATATAATGTATTAAGTTAGACTAGGTTATATCAACAAATGCAGAAATGGATAATGGCTCAACCACAACAGAGGTTTATTCTGTTCATATGCAAGTCTAAGGCGGGTGTTCCTGAGCAGCGGCCAGCTCCCCTCCAGACAGAGATTCAGGGATCGAGGCTTTTTTCCATTTTGTGCCTCTACTGTCCCATAGGGCTTTGGCCCTCAAACTGTGCACTAATGTTCCTCAAGGTTTCATAGTGGAAATCACGAGGCCTCCAT